GGTACTTGTCGTGGTTGTCTCCGTAGTACTTGCTGCCGCCCTTGTAGCCGTGGTGGCTGTTGCCGTGGTCGCCGTAGTAGCCCTTCTTGTTGCCGTGGCCGTTCGCGCCGTACTTGTTGCCGTGGTGGCCGTACTCCGAGTCGTAATACTTGCCGCCCTTGTAGCCGTCGTTGCCGTAGTGGCTGCCGCCGTGGCCGCTGTCGCCGTAGTACTTGTCGCCGTACTTGCTGCTGTACTTTTTGTCGTTGTAGCCGCGGCCCTGGACGGCGCCGTCGGCCGCCCTCTCGGCGCGCCGCAGCGTCAGCGGTGTCACTCCGTACAGTGGCGTACCGACGGCCGAGCTGGGGTCACCGCGCCGACCGCCATCTACCGGCGACCCCGCAGACTCGGCTGCGGCGGCCCCGCCGACAGGTGGCGCCAGCAGCGTGGCGGCCGAGCTGGGCCGCACAGCGCTGTGCAGGCTCAGCAGCGCCGGTACGACGGCCACCAGCCAGAGGCCTCTGGTGAGCGCCATGGGGACAGCGTGCTGTCGGACGCCGGGCCGAGTTCTTAGGGGGTCAGGTCACGGAGTAGCTGGGCCACCTGACCGGGTCAGGTCACGGAGTAGCTGGGCCACCTGACCGGGTCAGGTCACGGAGCAGCTGGGACACCTGGTCAGCAGACACAGCGAACACTGCAGCTGCTGGAGTGGTGCCTTCCCAGCGGCTGCCACCCGCTTTTGTACTGCCGACGGCGCGTGCTTCTCCGGCGGAGTGGACGTGAATTACAGCATCAGCGCGAGCTGGTCTGTTCAGCCGTATCGAAGTCACCTTAGCCAACAGCTGTCGGGCCGTGCGCAGGGCCAGGAGTCACGCCGGGCGGCCCGCGCGGCGCGTGACGTTTCAACGCACGAGCATTTCACCGCCTGAGACGGAGCTGGGCTACGTGTGGCTAAAACCGCATTGCGATGGACAGGATCTGTTAACATTTACAGTGACGTCTTCGACGAGCCATATATTGCCGATTGATATGGCCTATACCAATTTTGTTGTGGTTGACGTTTGTACCTACTGTCTCTGCTATGCCATAGAAGCTGGTGCAGCACTTAGGAGTGACAATATTATCATCCACGCTATTTGATTGTTATCGTCTGTCTATTCACTGAACTATGTACTTAAGTACATTACATACGTCAATCGGGGAGCGCCATTGGTACACGAAGTAAAAACGCTAGGGCTCCGAATGTCAGCCTAGATTCAAGTTTTTCGCTATTCTATTTATTCTTTTATACCGAGACGGATTGCTTCAGTGATAAAACATTCTCTTAGCATGGCTCAGGTATACATATATCTGATCACTCGGGAATGACTGACTGGCAAGCTTTTTTCTACTTGTCCATGTAGTAAAGTAAATGGTTATGTCGCATATGGGGCATTCCACGTCAAATCAAACACCGAAATCCGTCATCCCCTTCGATTTTTCTGAAAATTTGTAGGCAGACTGGGCATGGTTCAAAACTGAGTTACGTATAATATTTTCGAAATTTGATAACGTATCGCTGAGATATAGGTCATCGAATATAGCGAAAAATGCCACACATCAATTTTTTAAATGGCTATAACTCTGGTTCCTTTTCTGGTATCAAAATGATATTAACAGGGTCTTATAGGCAATTGATAAGGCTTTGATTTTTAATTATAAAATTAAATTGAAGTGACCTTGAAATGCATTTGACCTTGAATTAAAACAGAAAAATTTAAATAGCAAAAAACACGTCACCTTCGATTTGGGTAATTTTTACATATTATGTTCGTCACAATGTTCCTAACCATCTGTGAAAAAATTGGAGTGGGCCATTCATAACTTTCGCGGCAAACGCCGTTTTCATGCATCAACATCACGCAACCGCGCGTGACCTTGAAAGACAGAGTCAAGACATGCTTGCTTGTGTACACTTTCTGAAATGAATGATTGCTGATTAGTGATATCCCAGACTCTGCGAGAATGGAAATGCATAGTCATCGTAGTCAAGCATTCACGTTCCATAGTAAAAGTGTCTCAGGCAAACGGTATTTTGCGGTGAATTTTGAGCCGTGTGGAAATGCATCATGAAGTAAATTCAACGAAAACATTATCACGCAACGATATCTTCACGTCTTTTGATCTTCACTTTACGAAAGAACATACATTTTTTAGTATGAATGGGGAATTTCTAGTTAATCCAATAATAAATATGGCAGTTAGAGGCCTGCTAAGAGTAACATGTCGCCGGCTGAGGCGGGCTCGGCCGATGCGGGAAACGCAGCAATCACAATTTTGTGTTTACACGTTCATATTTCAATTGTTTACCAACCGATTTTCAAAATTCTTTCACCATAAGATTGCCTGCACATTTCTTAGTCTTCTCACAAAATTTGACGCGAATCGAACGTAATCAGCGGTAGGGAGCGCGATGTAAAGACGGAACCGTTTCGTTCCGTCCCGGCACAGTCTACAATTCAGGCGGCGCGTAGCGGTCGGCGCCGGCTGCCGAGTCGCCGCGTCGCTGCGGCGACAGGATGTTCACTTTACACCGCTATTACTAGAACAGTTGTGAACCGATTTTCTTATTGCTTGCACGATGAGATGTCCAATTCAATTCTTGACAGGTAGCCATAATTAATTTCGCATTAATCTTATGAGATATTGGCGAAACACAGGAGGGGTGGGCGAAATTCGCTCTTCCCCCTCCACTGCGCGTGCTAACATACGTTTGCATATGTGCAATTTTCTTCAAAACTTATGAATGGCCCACTCTAATTTTTTCACAGGTTGTTAAGAATATGGTAGGCAATAAAATATATGAAAATGAGCCAAATCGAAGGTGACGTGTTTTTTGCTATTTCAATAATTGTGCTTAAGAACAGAGTTAAGCAAATTTCAAGGTCATACATTTAAGTAGGTGCAATTCTAAACAAATGCTTAAGAAATTACCTAAACAGTAAGGTTGATTTCATTCAAATCAAACAAGTACAAACAAAGTTATGGTCGTTCAAAAATATAAAGATGCAACATTTTGTAAAAATTTGATGCCCTATATTTAGAAGACCTGTGGTCAGAATGTGCAAAAAACATCAATGTAATGTCCGGGGCCACACAGGAACTCGCTCACAAATTTATAATGAAATCGCTGATGATAAGGTGCAAAACAGCCGATTTTTGTTCGATTTGACGTGGAATGCCCCATATGTCTAACTGATTTTCTGCTGTTGTTTGCTAGTGTCTGACCTTTGTGTGCTGCCTCCTGTTCAAGCCATTATCGGTGAAATGTACCAGTCTTTACTTGGCCGCCCACGGTGCTGTAGGAGGAAGTGTTGTGGTCGCCACTCGCCGATGCTGCCTGTCATTCTCCACTTCTGCAAGTAAGTATGTGTAGGTGGTGTGATAAAGCCGAAGACGAGGTGACAGAAGGCGAGATTAAAAGACGAGAAACTGAGGAGCTGAGAGAGCAGTGTCGTGATTGAACACCGAACACTAAACTTTTTTTTAGTGAGCCGGGATGAAAAATACCGTAATAGCGAGAAAATAAAGCGATTAAAAGTACGTCCGACGGACGCATTATGTTGATCACCATGGTCTAAATCTATACATATAGTCTGAAATCTGAATGATGTCAGAAGTCGACAAGAAGCCGGAAAAGCAATTTTAGAGATTGACTCGAGATGGGTTGGTATAAACCACTTTAGTATAAATAAGTTATATGTAGAGGCAGAGGCGGATCTAGTGTAGCGAGACTTTTACTTTAAACTTAGATATATATATACATATATATATATATATATATATATATATATATATATATATATATATATATATATATATATATATATATATATATATATAACGGAATTATTCTGGAATGAGTTCGAAGCGAGAGGGATCAGTGACATAGATGAGACTGAAAGCCGGAGACAACAGGCGAAGTGACATAAAATAATGCTGTCTCGTCTCATTTACTGACTGCTCAGTGGTGTTTAGGTCGGCGAGGGACGGTACCACGGGCCATCCCCGGTCGCTGGGCTCTGTGTCCGTTCGCAGGCTGAACAGAGACCGTGTGCCTTGTCTGCCTCACTCTGTCCGGCCGTCAGGTGACTGGGAATTTGGTGATCTGTTTGCAGGAGACGGACAGAATCGGCGCTCACGCCCGCTACTGGATTCATCGAGTATTTGATTAAAAACATAAGTACCTATTGTCATATTTACGTGTTTTTTAGATACGGGACTGTTAAAAAATATTCGATAAGTGCGCGTATCGACCATTGGTCAGTCAACTACGGAGAGCTCATTTTTTAGGCGTAGCTCGCACCACCCCTGACCAAACACCACCCCTGCCGGCTGACTACCACGCTCTGGCCGAGTTTCATCGCTTCTGGCGACTGACTGGGAGGGGTGAGGTGAGGGGGGTGACTGAAACATGACTGAGCGGGGGTGACGTCTCAGCCTCAGCCCTCACTGCACGGACCCAGAGCGACCTCAAATGCGACGGCCGAGCCGCCAGAAGCTGACCTGTGTGTGACAGGTGGAGGGCGACGATTACTTCATACAAACAGCGCGGGAATAGAGCATGTTTGTGACAGACAGTAATACGGTTAGGTCGCTTGTGCTATAATTAAGCTCTGTCTGTTCTGCTAGCTTGGTAAAAATGCTAACTTGGTAGAACTTGTTTTAGCCCATCTATAAAGTCAACACATATTCTGCGTTTCAATATTTACTTATGCAGCATTAATGATGTACAATATACAGTGTACACTATACAGTGCGTGGCGCTTCAATCTCATTCACTTGAAAGCTAAAGCTCTCAGAAAACGTTTACCAACATTCTACATAACACACACATAGTCACCAATGTTAATCATGTTTTGCATTTGATATGCCCTTTATGCCCTTCTTTCCCGTTTATAATTCTGCTTTGTAGCTAACATAATGCGACATGTGCGAGTTAGTGACCGAAATTCAAAACCATTAATGTGCTAAAAATATACAGGTTCAGGATGTCATCGCGACAGACAATGAGCGAGCATGGTCACAGGAGTACAGCTGTGCTGACTAAAACTGACATCAAATGAATGATTACATTACGGCGCGGGAAACCGATTAGCTCATTTAAAACCTTACAGTTATGTCGGAATCACATACGAAACCCAATTAGAAGAAGGGAGAACAAGACACGTTAAAGTACTTACCTATCTCGATAAGCAAACATATCGGGACTAAGACATAAGACACACATGATGAAAGTGATGTTAGAAATACACAGTCTGATGATCACTGACAATTATGAAAGATGTAGAGTACGATTTATCACGAGTCTCCCTGCAGTCTGGAGTCTTATCCATAGAACTTGTATGGCTTGCTACTTGGCTCCTTCACAGTAAAGCTGGGACACTCTGAAATAAATAAAGAGAGCTTATGAATATGACATTTTACTAGCCTATGCCGGCACCTGTGCTCATTCGATCGATCCCCGCACCCGTTCCCTTCCCCTTCTGTCCCTCTTCCTCCCTCCCTCCGTCCCTTATCCCTCTCTCTCCCTCTCTCTCTCGCTCTCCCTCCCTCTCTCCCATTATTTTTTTTTTCTCTCTCTCTCTCTCTCTCCCCCCTCTCTCTCTCTCTCCTCACTTACTGCAGGTATGACACTGGGTCTCGTCCGACCCGTCGCCACAGCCGTCTCGGCCTGAGCAGAGAACTGCTGTGGAGCGGCAGCGGCCGTTCTCGCAGCGGTGCGGACACGGAGCGTCCAGCCGGCCGAGCACGCAGGCGGCGTGCGGCTCGTCCGAGCCGTCCCCGCAGTCGAGCAGCGCGTTACAGAACGAGGAGGCCGGCCGACAGACCCCCGAGCCGCACTGCAGCGTTCCGGCCGGACAGCCTGAGGGAGGGCAGGGGGAGGCTGAGGGGGGCAGGGGTGTACCGCTACTCAAACGACAAAAAGACAATACACATATATACGTACACACTTTGGACACTTTGGATGTACATATCAGTCAAATAGAATTGCTGTATATTACAAGATCAAAGAAACATTGCTATCCAGTTACGACTCTACAGGCTATCACCGGATATTTCTTAATTTTGAAAAGAGAACTTATGTATTTAAAATTTTAATGCTCGGATAAATAATTTAATTAACTTAGCTTAGAACCGATGCAATTTTGAAAACCACTGCAGGTCTTTATCTTTGGACGGCGCTTTATTGCTTTGCCAGTCGGAAAGAAAGCCTGCATCTGTCATTCTCCGTTCCAAAGTGTATTGACTTATTATTGTGTTTAGGATTGCTTTGACCACTGGCGTGAATAAAACATCAGTATCGGCTGTGCCAATGACAGATCAATGCAGTCTGTTCTGGATATCGATACCATTCTAGTTAACACGGTGACACAGCTGCCTTTTCATATAATCAATGCTCTCCGGGACAGTGCCTCGGTTGAACCCAATCAAGAGCCGTTTTATAGCTGCCGTTTCGCCATTGAACGCGTCCATAAATCCAGGAATATGAGAATGGCAGCGAGTCCCCGCCGGGTTCCGGCATCGTCTGTCAGTGTATTGGCAGCTAAGTGAAACGAACGCCGCTGTGACACCGCCCTAAATTTCGTGACCGTGTGGCGGGGGTCTATCTCTGCCGTCTCTCCCCCATCTCCATCTCCTCTGTCCCTCTCCCATTTCTGCCCTGACATCTTCCTCTCGTCCCCTTGTCCTATTCCCTATCCGTTGCCTCCCTCTCCCCTCTCAGCTGTCACTTTCCCCTCTCTTCCCTCCCCCGTCTCCTCCTCCCTCAACCTCTTCCTTCTTAGCTGTCCCTCTCTCTCTCTCTCTCTCTCTCTCTCTCTCTCTCTCTCTCTCTCTCTCTCTCTCTCTCTCTCTCTCTCTCCCTCCCACTGACCATTCTGCGGCAGTAGCAGGTTCACCAGCGACTCTGCCGTCCCCCGGCAGCCGCGCTCGTCACTGCCGTCCTCACAGTGACGCTCGCCGTCACAGACGTGCGCTCTGCTGACGCACTGGGCGCCATTGGCGCACGCGTGCGTTAGCGGCGGACAACCGGAGGGCGCCCCGGGCGCCAGCGCCGGCGCCCCGGGCGTTGGTCGGCAGAGCAGCTCGTCAGAGCCGTCCTGGCAGTGCCGGCGGCCGTCACAGACGAAGTACCAGCTGATACAGCGGCCCGTGGAGCGGCACTGCAGCGGAGGCGCCGCGCCGGGTCAGTCGCCGCCGCCAGGCACACGGGTCGCGGCGCCCGCCCAGATAACACGTCACCTACACACACTGCCAGCACGGGTCCGTTTGATGTCAGCGTGTGCCTGGCGGCTGCGGCTCCCGGTGCGAAGAGATTATTTCACGGTGAATTAGGTTACAGCGTGCGGCCCAAAAAGCTGAACATTGACGAGAGTTTTTGCCACAGCTGCAATGAGACACTATATCCCTGACTGAACACTGCACCGAGTTGTTCCAATACCGGCTGCGCGCCTACCTGGAAGGTATCGTTGAAGCAGCCAAAGTTGTCGGCGCTGCAGTCTTTGGAGGGCAGGTCGCACTCACAGCGTCCCCCGCGGCAGCTGGAGTTGGGATCGGCCGCCCGGCACTCGGCTGAGGCCACACACGGCTGACCCAGCGCTGCAGGCAGCGCCGGCGACTCTGTCGCAGGGGACGAGCACCGTGAGGAGCTCCATGGAATGTACACATGTTGATGAAAAGTGATACCTTTACAGTGTACCTTAACTTATCCATGTCCTTAATTAGCTTATCCATGTCTTTCTTCGTTTGACAACGCCCCATTCTTTCCTTTGCCGTGCTCTTTTCACAATGACATATACACAATCATTTATGATAACTAAGTTACCTCGATGTGCACGGTGCACCTCCCTTTAACTCCCATCGGACATTGTTACGCCTTTGTACATCCCCAGCCAGGCAGTATTGTGATGCCTTTATACATCCCCTGTTGAGCAGTGCTGTTATGCCGTTATACCTTTGTATGTACATCTCCGGTCGGTGAGTGTTGTTATACCTTTGTACAGCGGCCGGCAGAAGGTCAGGTCGTTGGATTCTGTAAAGCCCGGTGCACACTGGCACGTGCTGGGTGCGTCCGGGTGCCGGGTGCACTGGGCGTGGGCGATGGCGCCGCACTCGGTGGGAAGTTGACACGGACTGCCGAGCTCTACCGGCGAGACAGGGGGTTTGTATCGGCAGCTGACACAGACTCTATCGGCTCTATCGGACACGGAACACCGGCAGTTTATATACACGTACAAAGAGCTGACCAGGACTCCCGGGGAGACAAAGCATGCCGATAGTTCTATACCGGAGGGGACGTGCGGCATTTCCGATATTTTTCTTTACCAATATCTCAATTATCATTAAACCAACAACCAGCAGTAAACAAATCGTAAGAACTTAGTGCGAGGTGCTGAAATTATCCCTAAATAAATCGCAAACCATTCCTTTTCACACCCTCCCGAGTGCTCTACCAACTCACTGATGGCGGCTCGGGCGCATTTGGATCCAACCGGGAGCGCCCCGTCCGGACACTGGCACCGGCCGAGGACCCGCGGGATCCGGAAACTGCACGTGCTGCCCGGGGTGGCCAGCTGGCACTGCTCCTCCGTGTGGCAGAGCTCCGACAGCTTGGCCGCTGCGGTAGAGGAAATAATTCACCGCGTGGTCGGGCCGGGCCGGGCAGACAATGTGGGACATCCGGTCATTCATTTATTCGTTTAAACAGTGGAATATTATCCCATATTAGGTTATAACGAAGAACTGATGAAAGGTTAGACATTTACACACGTGTATCACATGACACAAATGTAACATTAATTTTATCAAGTATTCGCTGAACTGTTTGGATTAAAGGGAATAATTTTTTGTTCATCAGTGTAGCAAAAAAGGCTAGAAATGATTAATACCAGTGCGATGGTCCTGGCTAGCTGGAAATGGTTGGGCAACAGCGGTAGGTGGGAGGATTTTTCTCGGTATTAGATTACTATTAGAGGAAGGGATATTCCACTTCGGCCGTCTATTATCTCGGTGCTTTTTACAGTCTATAAAAAAGCTACCAGAAAAGGTTCTTTCTGAGCCACAGATATTCGCCTTTTATGGACACCGTTAGTTATATGGACGGAACTCAGAAACACGGTCCCCCAAATATCAAGCTAATGATCGTTTTTCTGCGTTGTTCGAAATCATAGGGTAAAAACGGAACTACAGAAAAATAGGTAAATCAAATGACATGCGATGCATGTAACATACGGCATGTATGCGGTGCCACTTATACGGCGACCTGAGACGACTCACGTGCCAGGCACGCGTGCCGTTTGTAGGTGGAGAAGCCTGCGCCGCATCGGCAGGCGTTCCGGATACAGGCGCTGTTCTTCACCCGGGAGCGGCACTGCGAGTCCTTCACACACGGAAAGCCCAGCAGAGACGCTGCAAAAGGACACATTTGTCAGTTAGCTCACCTCTCAACTTATAGGAGAGCTCTCCTAATAGGTACAGACACTGATCTGTCAAGCTGGTTAACAAGCTTTCAGCTAGGGGAGGGTGGGGTGGGTTGTATCAGTTTTTACTCCGAGACCCATAACATCGTAACTATCCGTGATAAACTCATTATTTCCATACTATCTCCTTCCTTGATTCTTCTGCTTTTTTGTGCAAAGTAACTTTTCCGCTACCTCTACCAGTTTTTCTTCTACGGTCTGCCGAATAGAGCAATGTTTTTGATACAACTTGCCCCATGGCTTGGGTGAGTTGTATCACACGGTGGGGTAATTTGTATCACTAGGTATTTCACGTTTCAGGGAGTGTGCTTGCTACTGGTTTTGAACATAACAACAACATTAAATGGGGTTAATACAATGTATATGCTCAAAGGCTTCACTTTTATTAGACCAAACTTAGATCAATGCAATCCGAACGAAACATCGAAACGAACGAAACATCAACAGACTAGATGCAAAAGTGGCCCGTTAAGCAAAGAAGCCAACACATTGTGCCGAAATGGAACGAGTATTGACTAGCTACCTACAAACGCGAGACAGGGCTTAGCTTTCGCGATCAAAAGCAACATACCCATGCATACATACATGTTACAACATACCCCACCCGGCTCTGATACAACATGTACCTCGCCGCCATCTTGGAAAAAAACATCCTCGTGCTCAAAAATAGCGGACAGCTGGAGAAATCCATTTTTACTCACGCAGCCTTAGAACCTACCCTCACCACCGCTACGGAGATCTTTCAAATTCGTGCACATCTAAATGTCCAAAACACACATTTTCTTGCAACTCATTTTTTTAGAATGACATTAAAAAAACATAAAATCGGCTCTCACCTCGAGACGCGTCCACCCAGCCACACGACAGAACAGGGAAAGATGGCGCCCGGAAAACCTCGTCGGCTGGTCGTGTCACGAGCGCTATCTATTGGATAAGTTTGGCACAATTCGCCCTGATACAACTTGGACATGATACAACTCTCCCCGCTCTCCCCTATAGGAGAGCAGAGACCAGCCTAGAACAGACACTGCCGAGGATATATTGAGATCTGCCAATGCACTCAGCTCTTATATGTAATGAGTAACGACAGCTTACCAGAATACGAACAGGTCTATTATTGAGACAGCCTGGTTGGCACGAAGCAAGCTTATGCAACACTTCCAGTACCGGATCCATAACTAAACAAACTCTAACGGCACTTACAGAACGTCGTACTGCTTTTTATCCGTGTTTACCCTCAGCCACCCCTCCCTATACAAGTCGACCCTCGGATCATCTCCAACAGCTGCAGCTGAGGGTAGATGCCCCCTGCCCCCGTTTAGAGCATGCCCGGAACGGGGAGGACTCATGTCGACACGCACGTGGCAGACAGGTGGTGCTGTTGAGCTGCACGTGGAACTGCTCGCAGACGCAACGTCGCCGCCAGCAGCGGCTGTTCTGAGTATCTGAGCAGTCGCGGTTCCGCAGACACGGCCTGCCCAGCTCGGCGGAGACGGCGGACAGCGTCAGCAGCAGCAGCAGCGCCACCTGTGACAGCGGACAGACGGCGGCGTCAGCGGACAGCGGTGGTGGCCTGAGGTGGCGCGGCGAGCTGTCACATCACTCAGGACTTTATTCTTAATAATGTATTTATCCCTACAAATATGGACTAAAAACAGATATCATTTGTTTCGAATAGACGCTCTGGAGGGTGAGTTTTGTGTACAATAACGGAAGCACGTCTTATTTTCTCCAGTCATCCAGAAAGCTCTTCTCTTCATGTTTATCGAAAATTTGACGCAAAGGTGTCTCGAGTCTTCCAACTTGCCCTTCCTTTAAGCAAACTCGAACTGATAGATTTGCTTTTTTTGTTACTCATTTCGGACGAACTTGTCTCAAGGTCACGTTGTCTCCGGTCTTGCATCTCGCAATATCAGCCCGTCTCATTGTGTCATCGACGAATCACAATTCAGACACTCTATCTTGACGTCTCTATTGACAATATTCGGACGGTTTGGCAACAGCTCTATCTGCGTCAATCTCTCCGGTTTGCGCTGTCACAGGCCTCCCTAACAAACGGTGCCTGATAAAAACACCCACCGCCACCTCGTTACAGTATCGCGTGCGCTTTGTCCGCGAATCTGGAGCACCGCCCCTGCGACCGCCGCTGCTTTGTGTTCGCTGTCTGTTCTCTGACCGGCCCCGTGTGACAGACGGAAAACAAAGGACTGCGACACCCCGTCTCCGCTCCGACGGCGCCGCAACTGTCCCAACGCCGGTCTGAGTTCTTCTGCGTGTCGCTCACCGGTAGACCATCTGGTTGTGTCTCTCGGCCTCGCTACCGCGGCGACCAACCCGTCTGTGAGCGTTACAGAGCAGCCGGCCAACTGCCGTCCCCAAATAGCCCATTGTACGACTGTGGTCCACGGAGGTATTGTTTTGCCGACTCCGCGCCGGCCGCCTGGCAGACACCCGCTGTGACGTGACGCCTGGACACACCACCGTGACGGATCGCACGTCACAATAGTGACATGGGCGTAACAGTGCGTCACAGTGCGTCGTCACGGCGTGTCACGAAGCGGTACCGAGTGCCGTCCGTGCCGCGGGGGGCGGTGCTAACAGGACTGGCGGGCGTGGATCGTCTGAACAATGGATAGACACTCCGAGCATCTACAGCTTGTTTGGTCTCCTCCCGTTTTGTGCCGCAGTGACAAACAAGAAATTATTGATCATGGCAGAGGAAACTATTGTGTCACGGTGAATCGCTGCGCTGCTGACGACCCAGAGCAGCTTTCTGCGGCCTGTATATGTCTCTGACTCTGCGGTCTGCCCGCTAACCAGGATCGACAATTGTCGGTGCTTTGCTGCAACAGCTGTGGGTGGCGTAATGGCAGCATTTGTGGTTATGTGTAGGGCTAATGGCCGGAAACGGCAGCTTATGAATGGACTGACCTATCTGTAGAATGGAGTGCTCCATTACGTAAGGAAGAGGTCATATGCTTTTTATTGGGTGAAGCAAGAAGATCTGAAGCCATCTTGTGTTTTATCTGTACGACTCTGAGTTATAAATAAAACGGCAGCCTCTTGCGAAACGTCCCTGAACATAAGCCACTTACCGCAGGGATATACCCTGGAGTCAAATGCGCTATAGGATATACATAGGCATTCGCACGGTGTATCGACTCCCGATCGGTTCCATTCCGTGGCATTGCCTCCACTCAACCCGCCCCGATTCACAAAGAACCGTTGTGTCGCTCGGTGGACAGCGAGCGACTCACAACCCGTCACGATCCGTCACAATTCGTCACACATACGTCACAATCCGTCACAAGTCCGTCAAAGACCCGTCACGGGCGCGTAACGCACCGGCCCGCCAGCAACGACAATCGGCCGAGGCGCACTGAATCGGCGCCGATTGTGGCGCGTCACGGATGAATGTGGCGTGACGTGGTGACGAATGTGGCGCACCGCTGTACGGTGACCGGTGCGGTGGCACGCACGGAGCTCGGTGGTTACTGTGGGAACAACGGTAACCGACTGGGAACGAAAGACCACGGTGTAAAGACGCCGCACTATGAGAGGAAGGTTAGAAATGTCAGGAATGCGACCGTGTTTGATGGGATGTTATCACCGTGACCGATCTGGTGTGGATTCCGAAATAACTGTTACAACTGGTCTAGTTATGATGTGGCGAGTGAATGATAGAACACTTTGTAGAGCGCTTATGAGTAAATGAGCGGACAGCGTAATTGTGAGAATAAACATCTCGTATAACAGCATGAAAACTGTCCGGTGTTCTGTTTCTAACTATGCACAGTGCACAAGTGCATAGTCGAACATCTTTACAATGTGCGTCGGTATCTACAACGGCAAGGTCACTGTGGCCCTTTAGGTTGTTTAGTGATGTCATGCCCTTCCCTCCAAACATTGTGCGCAGAAGCAATTACTTACAACAGCCTTTGTGGCGTAGTAAGTTAATGAAGGTGGATCCTCAGGGGTCTCGTGCATAGTTTGGTAGTCAAGGTCGAGGTTCATCTCTCGAGCTTTCGGTCTGACAAACGTTTCACAGGAAGCTGTCCATTTTTACGATTTCAATCTCTTCGGTGGCTTGGCAGTCAAATTGCATGGAGGCATGCGCTCATCATCTGTTAAACGTGTGAGCAGATTGTTCCGAACATCTAAATCCGAAACTATTTCAACAGTAAATTGCTGGCACCATTGTGTTTGGCTCTCAGATAAGCTCTACAGACGATGCAGGATCAGCGTTGGGTGGCTGGTGGGCTTTATCATGATATAATAGTTGGCCTTCATTTACTGCCCCTGCAGACCCTAGTGCCACACAAAGGCATTAAACTAAAAAAAAGGAGTAAAAATGGTCGCGGGTTGTTCCATCCAGTCGAGTTCCCCCTGACGAGGAACTTCATGACCTTGTGCCGAAACAATGCCACATCACCGTCAACCGTCCCGGCGCTCGACCGAAGGACCTTCCCACCGTCACATCTCCCCGCCTCCCCAGTCCGTCCCAGCGTTCATATTTACCCAGCCCACCCTCCTGCTTTTGGCAAACATGAGCCCGTCTGACGCGTCAACATCTCGTCCCGGCTCCAAGGCCAGGCGAGGTCAGTCACTCCAGGTCGGTCGGCCCGCGGGGCGGCTCCTCCCACACCGAGCTCTGCATACGAAACTAGCCGCGACCTACCGTGCGCGGCCGGTCAGATGAGGCGGGGAGACCAAATTGGCGCCGGCATGGGCCCCCAGAGTGCTAATCACTGGCCACACTCGCAGTATTTCCGAGGAGGTAGGGGTGTGCTGACAGCTACCGGAACTGGGCGCGGACGGTTGTAGGGCCCACCTGGGTGTAGTGTGGTAGCGGCTGTGGTCATAGTGGGCAGAGTGATGGTGTCAAGGGAGAAAGAGAGGGGCGTGGGAGGGGGACGGAGAGAGGGAGTGAGGGGGAGGGAAGGAGGGAGAGAGGGAGAGGGGAGATAAGGGGAAAGATAAGACGGGGATAGGTAGATGGATTGAGAGAAAGAAAGAGAGAGAGAGAGAGAGAGAGAGAGAGAGAGAGAGAGAGAGAGAGAGAGAGAGAGAGAGAGAGAGAGAGAGAGAGAGAGCGAGATCGAGAAGAGAGAGGAGAGAGGGAGGGAGCGACACGCGCACGTGGGCCGTTTGTGGTCGGCTGTGCAGAGAACAGTGAAGCGGGGGCGGTCGTGGCAGGGCAGTTAGCTCCGCCTGACTGCCCGCCGGCGCCGGCGGGAGGTGTGTGACTGACCCATTCATGACCGATCGGTCGGTATTCGTGACCGATCGGTCGGTATCGTGACCGATCGATACGATGACCTTGACGCCAGAAATCCCGCCAGGATGGAGATGAGTTGGGTGAGATTAGCCCGGCGGGTAATCGGACAATCGGGGACCGTGGGGCGATAGAAGTTGGGAATGGCCATCTAATAAATCGAGAAGCAATTACATACCCCGCTGGTAGTCAACAGTACTTACTTATTAATTAAATTTATTAGTTAAAACGATTAAAAACTTGTTTGTGAAATTGACTTGTTTGGGGTATAGGGTAAGGGCGGGTAAGAGTACGCGGGCGATAAGAGTACGCATCAGCTGTTTCGGTTGCTTAGCAACGCGGGTTTGTCGAGTTCATGAAGTGACATGAAGCCGCCAGTGCGTGCATGTCACCAACGGAACGTGGGCGTTGAGCGGCGACCAGTGGCGGATCCAGGGGGGGCAAAATGGGCATTTGCCCCCCCCCCCCAAACGGCATGATTTTAACATTACGCCTATGGACGATGCATGGAAAGAATCGATAAATTTTTATGGTTTGCCCCCCCCCCCAAACCTCTGAGCTGGATCCGCCTCTGGCGGCGACGCTGTTGAGTTTAAGGCGATGAATATTATTTTCGAGCGTTATGATATTATTATGATATGGTACAATAATTTTGATACTTGGCAGTTGAGATAAGGTACATTTCCGTGATTGTTGTGGGAAACTTGCGAGGTTATCTGGGGAAATACTGTACAGTGCAATATTCTGTTTGCGAAGTTTTGCACAACGTTTCGGGGTTGTTTTGTGCGCGAATTGCATGTACGGTAAGAGGACGCACTGTTCAGGAGGGTAAGAGTACGCAGAATTATACATTAAATCGAATGTACAAAAATATAGAATTATTAATCTATCGCTCAATGACGTTTGTTTTGTAGGTATATCATCAATGGAGCACTGTGATGCAGATGCGTACCCGAAATTCTTCCAAATACGAGTTATTCTCCTTTTTGATTGTGCATTTTTTTTTAAAGAAACACACGACATGATTATTTCCTGATTTATAGACTTGAAAGATTTAGGTATCTTATGTTTTTCTTTTTGGATGCTAGAATTAACTTAAATGCCTTCTGAGTTTGAAGTTAAGCATTTGGACAGTGCAAGCTGCATAGGTGTGTGTTCATATGCTTGCGTACTCCACCCGCCTGGCGTGCGTACTCTTACACACCCCATATGGTAAGAGTACGCAACTTCAACGGTTCAGAAAATGTCAGTTTTAGACCACTTCCATTTACGCTGAAGGATCGTTGCCCCATGGGTTGATGGCTAATTCAATGAACTTTAATATTCCTTATTTGCGATTTCTTTCCTTCAAATATTAAACAAATGAGAGCAAGAAATCCACTAAGTGCGTACTCTTATACGACTTCACCCTAAACAAATAGTAGGCTTTTACTGGACACAGTGGAAAGCTATTGCAGCAACCCTCTGCGGACATATGTGTCGGACGGCATCTCAACATGTGAATTATTTCCCAATAATTCGCAATCAGTTTTCTGTCCGACGTTACTTATCAGATCAACGATGATATGACAATAACACCGAAAACAATTATCTCACTCTCGCAGGTAGGTATTAATTTTGCAATCACCTGGTGCGTTTTTTCGTGTCTTCACCTTGCGGTAAAGCAAAGTAACACCGGGTAAAGTGCAAGCGACGCTGGACAGAAACTCCAAGGTGTTTGATGATATCTCGATACCCACACAGTACCAACAAATTGGCACGCACGATCGGACGATAGCGCTAGGTGTCCAGTCCGAAAACCAGTTGATATTGCAGACCGTCAGTGGTGCAATGCACTGCAGACCAATACCACATGTGATATTAGTCTGCCCACGCCGGGTAGACTAATTGTGTATACTGTCCTGTCCCAAAATTAAGTTTACATAACTTGGTGAGATTGGGCCAAGTGCCCAACCTCACCAAGCTAGTTTAACTAATTTCGGGGTAGTATTTTTGTAGTTATGGAGTGGGGTAGTTTGGTATTTTACCCCAAATTGAGTTTACCGCACTTGGTGAAACTGGGCCCAGATGACCGACAACCTCAGTCCTAAGCCGGTCTCTGACCGCACATTGAGGGGCAATGACAGGTGACCCGTACCGCTGCACCTCTGTGTGTGTAGGAGCGGTCACGTGGGGGCGTCTATAGCCGCGGAAGAGTTTGGTCTGGAGGTGGGCTGGCGAGGGAGTGCCCAGGTCAGTTCAATCCGTGGAACGTGCAAGTGGCACGCGCCACATAGTGTACGCTTATGTAACAGCTTCCGGGGCACGGTGTATTGAACGAGAGTTGACCGGTGAGTTGGGAGGTCAATGACAGGTCAATTGGAAGGCAGCCAAAGGTAACATCAAACATGGAACCTGTCGGTTGTCAGGGGTCAATGGCAGGTCGAGTGCAAGGCAAGAGTGGGCAGTCCGATGATCTCATGCTTCAGTAATGGAATGCCTTGCTAATTCTTGAGGCTTAGATAATAATAAGTTTCATCGTTATCCGTCTTACCGATGTCATGGCCTTACCAATTAGCATGAAAAATAAGTCTAGCTTCCCCAGAGCTCAGAGCTAAAATATTGCAGCACACAAACAGACTGGTCCCAACATGAGATAAACAAACATCCACATCTCTCTCTCTCTCTCTCTCTCTCTCTCTCTCTCTCTCTCTCTCTCTCGCTCTCTCCCTCCTCCGTCTTCTCTCTTCCTCCTGTCACCACTATCATTAACTCCACCTATCACTTTATCCATCGGCACCTCTCAGCGAGACACCCCAGCCCACCCGACGCGACAGGTCCCGTCAGATGGGACGGACTGGAGCGCTCTGTGACGCCTTCCGCGTCCGCGGTCATCAGGTCATTGTCACACTGACACCGAGGGACGGCGGCATTCGGCGGTGGGCGCGTGGGCATTGACATGGAAAACCGGTCAGTGACGCATCATCGGAGCAACGTCCTGTCACCAGGTCTGCAGAGAGCGCAGATCTGCAGAGCGTGAGATGGCGTGATGAGCTCCATGTCTACATTAGAGAGCCGTTGTCGACTGTATGTCAAGCAGTATTGTGACAACGAGCACGTAAGGAATCAATGTATGTAACGTGTTCGCCCTGATTTTAGAGTAGTTGGGATGCGCCCAAACAAACCACAAACATTCGTATCTTGCTCCGAGGCGCGCGGCTGCCCACATTCTAGTCAGGTGACTCGCACTAATCATTCACGGAACCTGTCCGTGGTTATGTATCGACCGTATCGACCTGGCTGCCTGCCAGTGCAGCGGTGTGTGGCCCGTTACCCGTCCTGTGGCGACCGCCCCCTGTCGTTGACCTTTGACCGTGGCAGACGGCCGCGTGGGTGACAGGCGACCGGACACACGGGGGGGGGGGGGGTACCAAAGCAGACAGCTTTGTTCCTCGCCCTCTTCAAAGCAGACAGCAAGTCGGTAGAGTGGGCGGGAGTGGTGGGTCGGAAGTCGCAAACTACAGTAGTTCGGTGGTGATTCATCCGCACTTGACAATTGCTATTATTACCTGTTATTGGTCTGAATTCGGCGACGTATAGTGTGAATCACTTTGAATCACGTAACACTTAATACACTTTTAATTATTACGGCAATATTCAGACAAAATTTGATCATATTAGTTGAATTGTAACGCTCCCAATGTCCACTTGCTTACATTAAAAAAGAATGAAGCTCGAAAGTCATTGCTTCACTGCGCTTATGATGCTACAAGCAAGTAGCCAGACATCCTATTCCTTTCTAGGGACTTAGGGAGGACAGACATTCTGTTCCTTTCTAGGGATGGATGGTCCACTAGTTATTTCCTGGTTCTTTCCGAAGGGAAAAGTTGTACAGTAGCCTACAAAACATTAGTCTTCCGTCAATGGGAAGAGGAAAGCAGTCATGCATTTGGGGACACTGTTGTTCAATCTCCTTGAAACGACCATCTACAAGCAAAAATACGCAGGGAAACTGTCACAGAGTATAAACGTTTCAGCGGTAAAAAAGACAAACAACCGGAATTGGAGAAATTAATATTAGACCTTCTATACACTTCAATGGCTTGTTTCTTATCATTACATTGCTGTTAGAGTGGCCCACACTTCGTCTGCTTTTTATTTTTGTTTCCGGATTTAAGTTGATCTTATTTTGCGTTTATACTGCTGAGTGGTGCTGTCGGAATGGTATTTTGGACTGCTCGGGAAGGAAAGTAAAACATATTTGTCCTTTTATTTACAAAGCTGCATAAATAGGAACTGCATCAATACTTTCACAGAAACAGAAGCAGATTAATCAGGCGTCGGTTAAAGTAGGTCTCATCGGCTTTGCTATCAAAGCTGTTGAAAGTTCGATAATTTGGGAGAGCAGACACTCAAGGAGTCCGTTCTAATGGAAAACTGGGTGAGACTTAGACTGCGAAGTGGTTAAAAACATATGATAAATAAGCATCTGCAGCAGAAGTAATTGTGCATTACACAAATATGCTGTTGTACTACAGTAATATACGCGCACACTCAATATCTAAATGGACCATTATCATTATGTCACGCCGATCAATATTTTGTTTCAAAAGCCAACGATAAACCACATCCGAAGTCAAACCCACCTTTTGAAGTGATCCTGCAGCCATTGTCCTCCCCTCGCTGCTCCTCTCTCGGTCCCGGCCCGGTCCTATCACCTACCCACACGGAGCACGCCTGCGTGCCGCCTCACCCGCCAGCGGTGAGTTCAACACTGCCGGCCGCCACAGGCCACTAACACCACGCGCGACTGCGACGCCGAGCCGGCACCTAGCACGTGCTGGGAGGCGGCCGGTCAGAGAGAGGGAGGGAGGTAGGAAGGGAGGGAGGGAGGGAGAGAGAGAGAGAGAGAGAGAGAGAGAGAGAGAGAGAGAGAGAGAGAGAGAGAGAAAGAGAGAGAGAGAGAGAGAGAGAGAGAGAGAGAGAGAGAGAGAGAGAGAGAGAGAGAGAGAGAGAGAGAGAGAGAGAGAGAGAGAGAGAGAGAGAGAGAGACCGATCCACGGCACCGCAGCGAGCAAAAAAAAAAAGATCGGCAACACCATAATCTGAGCAGAGGAGAGGGAACGGACCTTGTAGGTGGCTGTTAGAAGATAACGTTTTGCATGCTTTTTTGTAATTACCAATAATAAAATATCAATCGGTGTCTACTGTGTAAAGTATTAAGGCTTTTCTGAGTAATTTTGAAGAGAATTGTGAATCGTTTTCATTTCAAGATAGCGGGTGACCCACTCCTAGTCCTCCCATTTCAACGCCGGCTTGGCTTTGGGGCCGCAACAGAAGGCATGGGTCAAGGTCATCGAGCGCTGGGCGGTGGATTTGTGGTCTCTGAGCGCCAACAGTTCTGTATGATTTTCCACTAAGCTATGGAGAGGCCCTGCCTGGTGCTCACTGCCGCAGGGCCCATGTCACCGATGCTCACCAGCCGAGGCAGTCAGAGCAGAGCGACATCTATGAAGACCTGACCAGCAGCGTCATCTGGAACTCTCAGCAGACCGGCAGCGGACAGGTACTGCATCGTCCTGGCTAGGGCGATTCGGCTATTGACTGGACGAATCGCTTGAACATTGACGGACTAGGTCCTTAAGTGAAATGGCGCCCTGATATTCTGATGTTCAGAAAAGGAGTTATGAAAATATCAGTGTGGGGAAAGCATCTGCCCTCCCGTCTCTTCCCAAACCACGGTAGGTCGTGCAGTGAATTGACTTTTTGTGAGCGCCACACTTGGCAACATTTGTAGGCCGCCTATCTGAAATTTTCTCGCATGCCTACCAATATATGTTCATACGATTTCATACCTTTTGTACGTCTACGACATGCATGAATTGATGAATGAAAGCTGAGCCGTTTGAAGGATCAAATCGCCGAAAAATCCACTTTCACAGTTACTTTTAAAAACGAACCTTACCTATTAGTTTAAACTCATAACAGCTGCTATCACTCGACGTCATAGCATGTTCACTCAGCTAGAACTTATATGAGTCACATTTTCAGCCAGCAAAGTGCACACCAGTTATTTCAATCCTATCTACATCAGCATATCAATCAACATCAACATAGACAACTCGACGGCTCTGAACTACCTATGTTACCTAATGTGACTCGAAGCCACGCGTGTACTCGACCGCATCTGCCGAGTCGGCGGGCAGCAGTCGGCCGGGCTCGTGCATCACATCGACCACAGTGTCCAGGTAGGGTCCGAGCATGGCCGTCTCTCGCTCCCCCCGCAGCAGGACCGTGTTCCAGTGGCGGCCGCCGGCTCCGCGGTGCAGCGAGCACGGCAGTCCGATCTGGTCCGCGAGGAACTTGAACAGCAGCGCTCGACAGCGCATCCCGGCGCGCTCCACGTCTCCGACAAACACCACGTTCCCACCGGCGCGTCTCTTCAGCTGGCAGAGGTGGAACTCGTCTGACCACGTGCCGAGCTGCTCGCGGGGGACGGAGCCGCCCATCCGAGCGGCCACGAGCCGCGCCAGAGCCGAGCTCTGCTCACGGTCCGTGGCCAGGGGACGGATGACGGTCAGCGCGTGCTCGACGTACCCCGCCAGGTGATAGTCGACCGGCGGCCAGGAGCTGGTGGGAACGGGCGCGGCTTCGGGGTCGTGCGGAACAAACCCAGGCACTGGCAGAGATGGCTGAGCCGGCGCCGGTCTGTCTGAAGGCGCGGCAGTGGCGGCGGCAGGGAGGGAGGACGGTCCGCTGCTGCTAGTCTGTCCAGATGAGTGGTCTTTGCCTGAAGCTCTTGGAGAGGCATCAGATGCAGCACTTTCTTGTTTCTTCTCCCCACTCTTTTCAGAATTGTCACGTCCTTTCAGCTTTTGTTCTTTTTCATCAACATCACCATTACCCTTTTCAGCAGCTGCATCTCCTTCTTTGCTCTTTGATTGTGATGACTCCTTCTGATCTCGTTTGCTGTTTCCCTGATCGGGCTTCCATCCATGCGGCGGTGGCGGCGGCTGATCCTCACCCCTGTAGGGACACACTCCCGAGTTCAGGAGAAACACGATCCTCGTGTGACTCATCGGCTGCTCGTGCAGAGTTATCAGTTCCGGCACCGAGTCGCACGTCTCCTGCCGGCCACAGTCGAAGAACAGATCGTAAAGCTTGTGGTGAGTTCTCAGCCGACCGAAGACGGCGAACAGTGCTGACAGATTCACCTCCAGGACAATGCGCAGCGTCTCTGTGGCTCGCAGCCGGCGCAGGGAGCCGATCGCTCCGCCGGCGCACAGTTCCTCGGCGCAGCGGAAGTCACAGCCCACCACCTGGATGGCGCGCACACAGGCATCCCGTACGTCTGCATCATCATGTTGCAGCAGGTCCATGAAGAGGTCGGCAGCTCCCCGGCGCACCACGCGCGTGCGAGCGTCTTGGTTGAGGCAGAGGACGGTCAGAGCATCGCAAACGCTTACCAGTACGACGGGGCTCTCTTCGGAGAGGCAGGCGACGAGGCGGGTCGGCGCGCTGCCGGCCGCCACCACCGGTCGCACCGTCTCCTGTTCAGACATGTTCCTCAGCACCATCGCCACATGCGAGACGGTCTCCTCATCCTGGATACCAAGCCGGTCCACCAATCTCTCCAGGTGATCACCCAGACAGATCTGTCTACAGGCGAGTTGGTGGTTTCGAGTGGCGGCCGCCAGAGCCACCACGGCGGACTGGAACGTCTCTGGGCTGGAGACCATGCCGAGCAGGATAGAGACGGAGCCGAGGCGCACCAGCTCCTCCTGCGACTCCAGCTTGCGGCACATGTGGCCGATGGCGCGCGCGGCACCGTTCTGACTACCCGAGAGGCCGGTGGCCAGCAGGCTGGTCACCATCACCGGCTCTGCCGACAGCTCGTGGAAGATGTCACGCACGTCCGCGTGCGCCGCCATCTTGGCGTGAAGGAACGCGCACTGCTCGAGCACGTCCGACACGGTGGTGGTCTGCACAAAGGTCAGAATCTTCTGCAGACCTCCGGTCTCATGGATGGCGAAGATGTTCTCCGGGTCGGCGATGGCGGCATCTAGCACCGCCACCGCGCTCGAGTGAAGGTCCTCAAGAGCAGCGCTCTCCAGCAGCGAGAGCAGCTTCTCCAGTCCTCCGACTTCCCTCACGCGGGCGCGTCCATCGGCCGAGTGCATCGCCTTCCGGAGGGCGGCCAGCGCCAGTGTCTGCAGCACCGGGTACTCGCTGGCGAGCAGCTCCAGCGCATTTGGAACGCCGCGACTGTCGACAAACGACTCCACGGCCACGGGGCTGTCCAGCAGCACGAGAAGCGTGTCCAAGCAGTTCTTCAGCACGTCTGGGTCGCGTGAGGTGAGTCTCTTCACCAGAGCGTCGACAGCGGCGCAGGAGAGCAGCATGGATCGTCCGGCAGCGTCAGAGGCTAGTCGCAGCAGTGCGCTGCTGGCCACCTCATCCACAACACAGTCGTCGTCCTGGCGCAGCACGCGCACCAGCCGCACCACGTTCTCAGCCGAGACCAGCGCGGACTGCACCGTGTTGTTGCCGGAAAGCTCGCTCAGCGTCATCGCGGACATACGGCGCACGTTCCGGTTCGGATTCTCCAGATGGTCCAACAGCAGTGCCAGGATGTCGTACTGGATCAGCAGTGTCTGGTTCAGGTCACCGTCGTGGGCGAACTTATACAGCGATTGGCAGGCCTTTAGAATCAGGTCTTCCTCCGTGGACTTGAGCATCAGCACCACCGTGTGCGGTATTCGTGTCTCCCAGGTAAAGGAGGGCTCGATCTGCCCCGCAACGGGATCATCCTGCTTGGTTTTAGGCATGATTGCTTTGGTAGGTTATATGCACGCTCTATTATCACTCACTAGGCTATAGCAGGCATATTTCGCTAAAAAATCGCTGAAGACCCGCTGGGAGGAGTTTTTTTGTCGAGCTTTGAGTGAGGAAAATCTTATATCCATAAAGACTCGGGAGGGAACAGGATAGCAGCGCAGTGAGGCGCTGTTTTCGGTCTGATTTTCGGCACTCTCGATCTGCTTTCGGTTCACTGACAAAGTGCTTTTGCTCGTGCTATTTGTTGCAATATCCTTCATGCTAAATGCATCAAAATGCGTAGCCACTTGTTTTCCCTGTTTCGAGCATTGTTAGCTGGCACGCGCGACACAATCGCTATAAAATAAAACGGATCAATCGAAAGGCATCTCTTGCAACTGTCAGTCTGGCGAAAAACTCATTTATAGTGTCTAAGCCATCAACTCTTTTGCTCCTGCCGGATGAGTTCTGCAATTTTAAACAGTGGATGATACGTTCTAGCGTAGACGATATAAGGAAAGGCAGGCTATGCCCGAAACCTCTCGCGCTTATCCTACCTCCCATCAATTATAGACTATTCATCCATCACTTAGTCCTCAACCTCAACTCCAATGTAGGTTATACTTTTTTATATTAACTGTTCACTGTTCAGAGCATTGAAACTGAATTCCGTATTGCGATTATGCATAGTGACAAGAAAGGTGAACACTTTTTCACTAAGAAACGAAACGACGAACGTTTTCTATCCATGAGCTTCACAGCTATTAGCTAAAAGGCTCGTTGGCAGCAAGCATACCTACACTCTAATGCCCTTGCATTGTCTGTAGGCGTCAGGCCTTCAGGTGCACTTCGCGGTAAGTTCAAACATTCCGTCGCATGTCACATTGATTGTATGGATCGTAGCGATCAAAGGAACGACCTTTTAGGATAGTTGGTGCCTGAATATGGCTGTAAGACCTCCAAACACTCCGTACAAAGGTGGCTATTGAAAAGACCAGCCAGGCTAGGCTAGCTTTCCGACAGCATAGCCTAATCGGTATTTATCGTTTTGGCCTGATGACTGGTCCACAGCATACATGTATATGTTTATGCATATGCATACATGTACCTTCGCCTCTCTAGCATGAGGGCTGAGCTGGAGGCCATCTTCCGCGGTCTGGATCTTGCCAGAAGCGCCCACCCTGATCTAGCCGCGTGCATCATCTGCACCGACTCTCAGTCTCTCCTGCGCAAACTAGAGAGCGGATCGGCTCCTCCGGAGTGGCACCACCTCCCTCAACAAGTCGTATGGGTATACTGCCCAGGGCACGCCGGAGTCCAACTGAACGACAGAGCCGATCACCTGGCTGGCAGTGGTTCTGCTTCCGACTACCTGGAGCTTGGGACGCAGGACATCCAACTCATCATACGGGATCGACAGCTGCGCAGCCGCGACGACGGGTCGTGGGAGGAGAAGAGGATGAGCGAGAGAGGCCTGCAGCGGGGTTGGGTGGCGAAATCCACCTCCCGTGGCCGCGCTGCCCACACGATGTGTCAGCTGGCCACTGGTACTCTCTCCCGAGCGGCGCTGACCAGGGTGTTCCAGCTAGGAGGAGCAGAGGCTGCTTGGGGCCAACTATTGGGCCTCCGCCGGCTTACGACGCTGCCGCTCGACCAGTAAGACCAGTAAGTATGAATGGAGAGGTCCCTTAAACTGTTCATATAGAAGCTTACCATAATTGATGAAGTGGAATGATGGGTTATCCTAAATAAATTGTTGTACCATTATGACTATAATTTGTATTGCATCTTATGCACAAACACATCTTTTCATGCCATGAAAACAGCGCGTGCGGCGCAGTGAAAAGGCAAAAAAAACATAGCCATTATGAAGAACAGTAGGTAACGTAGCGTGCAAGCTAATAAGTTGAGTTGTGTCATCTTCAGCTCATTTGCAGCAGCACGACCAGGTAGGTGACGAAGTCGTCCTAGCTCATTTGCAGCAGCACGACCAGGTAGGTGACGAAGCTGACCGCCACCGTGCCCAGGAAGGTGCTGTTCACTCGGACCGCCCCGGCGGCGGCGGCCGGGCGCAGTCCCTCGACCAGGGCGCGCAGCCGCGCCGCCTCTGCCTCGCTCTCCGGGCCGGTGGGGGGCCGGCGCAGCAGCAGCACGGCCGGCCGACCGGCCGCCTCCTCCAGCCGCCGGCCGTGCGCGCACAGCAGCGCGGCGAACACAATCAGCATCACACCGGCTATCGCCTGTTGGATCGCCAGCCCAGCGCTGGCGTCGGCGCTCATCGAGGAGAGTTTGTACACGCTGATCGCCACTTCATACACCAGCATACAGGTGGCCGGCATCACGTAGACGGCGCTGAACGCGGCCGTGGCGTCAGCGGCGGCCAAGTAGCGCTCTCTGATGTGGACCAGGATGTCCACCCGGGCGGCGGCGGGCGATGCTCCGAGGGCTGAGTTCGCAGAAAGGGACAGAACTCGGACTAGTGCCGAAGGTCGACCGGCCAGAGACGAAGGCACATCGCTACGATCGGGCGTAGTCGGCTTGGTGCAGCGCACGGCCGGTCGAGGCTCCAGCTCCCGCTCTAGGTCGGACGAAATGACGTCAAAAGCGTCCGACAGCTCATGCATCAGGTGGACACACAACGAGAGCAGTGACCACTTGTAAAGCAAAACTGTGACAACGAATGTCTCGTTGAAAGATTGAGGCACGTAGTTGTATCCCTGGCCCCAAATGAAGCCGCTTTTGTAAGACGTCCACCTCCAGACGATGGCACCAATCTGCACGGTCAAGGCCACAGCAATCTGCAGTTGGACAAGGATGCGTTTGCGGGGGCGCAAAGCCCTCTTCATTCCATTAGTTCTTCTGAGTTCGTCTACCCTGTCAAGCATAGCGGGAACCTTCTTGCCACGCATTGCCAGAATCCACACCGAGGCGCACATACTCCCGGAAATGACTAGTTCAAAGACGACCGTCAATACTATTTCATTCAGTTTGTGCAAGCCCAAGCTGCGAGGAGTAAGCCAGGAGACTGCATACACAGTGAATATGGCGACCACCAGAGCCCCGGCGAGGGCCGGGCCGCTGCAGAGCCGGTATTGGTAGGGAGGTCGGCCTCGGAGGGCGCCGCGGACCGGCAGAACACCGGTCAGAACGGCCAACACCCGCCACGGAGCCGGCCAGACGGTCAGAACGCCGGCCATCGTCCACTGTGCGCCGGTCAGAACGCCGGCCATCATCCACTGTGCGCCCGTAGAAACAGCCGCTGTGATAGACCTCACCAGCTGTGGGATACCGTAGCTGAGACCACAACAGCTGTAACAGAAGACCAAACAGCTGTTACAGTACACAACAAAATGTAAATAAAAGATTACATATAGTAGTCGTCCACGGCAGCTGTCCGAACAGCCGACTCAATGGACCCCGGCAGCCGTTTTAGTTAACCGCAGCCGCTGCAAAGAGATAGCAGTCACCTCAGCGGACTAACAGCTGCAGATAGCTAGCTACAGATAGTCCTAGTTTACCTTAGCAGCTGCTGTAGAGTAGCAGGTTCAGTACGCTAGCAGTCGCCCCAGTAGACTAGCAGCTACAGGGCAATAGCAGCCGTCCTACGCGGACCTCAGAAGGTGGAGGACCCCACACTGGTCACCAGCAAAATGAAGAGCCACAGCCAGTAGGCAATCCCCGAAATGGAACACACCTTTATATTGGTGCGACCGTATTGTTCCCTTTCAAAAGTCATGCCCTCAAACAGGTCGATACTGGTCCATGTGTGTCATTCTTTTCACAGGAACCGACCTCACTTCATAATGTTAAAGACATTGGACAGCCAGGCGATGTTTGGTTGGAAAATATGTAGGTATTGGTTAGCTTGTATGACCAGAAGGACGCCATGCCAACGGCTGCAAAGGTGGCGTGGGAGGGTCAATTGGGGTGGCGTCGATGCCGGTGGGCCTGCGATATATTATTCGCCCCGTTTGTCCTGGCAGCTGGCCAGGTACCGTAGTGTCAATAATTTCCAGAGATATTTGCATAGATCTTTGAGTACGACATGTAAAATAGTTAGCTGCGCAGAACATGATACCATGCTCTGTGATTGAAACTGCTGCTCACTTTGAGCCATTTCGAAGTAAATTTCTAACCCAACATCCTAACCACTCATGATTACCAGAAACTACCGTGCTCAGTGAGGTTCTTTGATGTCCTAATTAACGATGAAAAACTGTCGATCGAACTTTCCTTGGTTTAAGGAGGTGCTGTTAAAATTCGGACGACGATCGGCACAGTTTGCCGTCGCGCCCGGCTGGCGGCGTCACGGTCGCGTCGGCCGTCCGCCGAGTCAGCTGGCGTGCCGTCGTCGGCGCCGACAATCGAAAATAGGCCGCGGGGGTTCAGTGCAGCCAGCCGACTGGCCGAGGGAAGACGTCTGAGTGTCAGTGAGGAGACCTGCTCGATTCGGCGACATGTCCTACTACCCTGATCTGTCCGCGTGAGTATCAGGTGCCACTGGTCGACGGCCGGGGAGATACCCACCTTCTGAGTGAGTTAGGCCATATCATATTGATACTGTCCAGGCTTTCCATGAAGTAACGACACTGTGACAAGTAATATTTGTTTCTGTCATGGAATCTTTCTAAGAAAAGTATTAGAGGTTTACATTTATTGATTGTTAATTTCCGAAAATTTGAAAACCGATACCAACTAAAACCTACTCGGAAAAAAATACCAGCACCGCAACTGAATGTCAGCTGCATCCTGAGACAGCCAATGGAAAACATTCGGCAAGTCTGAACAAAGACGAAATTGAAACGATAGGCTAATTAAAACGATCTTATGCATTCGAGTTTGGTGAAAAATGTTCAGATGATCATAGCTATCCAGATCATCACTCGGCTCTTGATAATAATATCTGGAATCAGGATGAATGCGTTTGACACGATGCCTGGATCTTGATATCAAGGTATCTTAAAGTCTCCGTTGCAAGCAATAGGCACCATGTCATAAATGCATCTGCATAGGTACTGCAGAAGCTGCATGGACCGCATTGTCGCAGTCAGCCGATAGTTCTGCCGCTAGATGTCACTGCTGGTCGACGCCTGCGGTGATACTGTACCGCATGGCTTGGTCCATTCGGCTAGTAACGAGTAACTGGTAAACCGTACTATTGACGGCCGACGAATTGACCTGGCAGGTAGATTGCCGGATTGTACAGCACGAAGGCCAAAAATATGATCAAACAACACAAGGCTGCTAATGATGATTATTTTGTAAATATTGCAGTATGTTTCATTGCAATGTAGGTTTATGGGTATGCACTCAAGTTTTGACAAATGTAAATTTTTGCTAACTAATTTTACTCACTGTAGGCAGGGTGGGGAAAACTGGCATGTCGTACTAACTACTGCCGTAGACCGAATAACCCCCACGCACCGTGCAGCCGCTGTGATGTGTTACATCAGCGCCACTGCTGACCTCAGTAGCTGTCTGACGTCAGCTCAGCGGTGTCACCAGCCTCTGTCTCGGCCGGCGCCCGGAGCCAAGGCCGGACTTATGGACGGCTATTTCGGCCGCGGCCGTCGTATTTCGGTGCCTGGGAGACCGGCACCTCGCGTCCGTCAGAGCCGGCCGTCCCTTGGCGCCCCCCCCCTCCCCCTCAGAGACCGCCGGGACCGGGCTGTCACCGCCGCGGGCCGCTCGTTTAATCACGCAGATTGTGGTCGTTGGTAAGCGACAGGTCATACGGGACCGACATACCGACGGCGCGCCGGCGTCGATGACACGCCCTCCCATCCGCGGGACCGGTGAGGTCGCCCCACCAACAGGACGTCACCGGCGCGCTGCCGCGGCTCCGATCGAATATGACGGCGCCGGCCGGTGTCCGACAGGTACTACGCGGCGGCGGCGGCTAACCCGTTCACGGCCGCGGCGGCAGTGCGGCTGGCGGCCGCCTCACCGCCCATGAAGCGCGCCCGGGTGATGGTGCCGCCTCAGGGAGCTGCGATTCCCACCCAGAGAACAGTCATTGCCAAGTCGCCCTCCACACCGCCGGCCAGGAAGCCGCAGGGCAATGTATGCCTGGACGAGCTGAAAACTTACTGTGAGTGGTTTTGTTGTAAATTGAGCATTTCCCACTGCTCTATGGTCATTGTCTTGCACTGAGCTGAACGCCTCATTTCTTGACTTCCGTTACGATTCTTAAAAAAGCATTCTTTAGACAAAAAAAAAAGAACGCAGACTAACGAATGTTATACAATTGACCCACAAAGCCTCATATTTTGAATTCAATTACCGAAAATCCGAAATTCATAGCAGACCAGCATTGGCAGTCTTATGCGCTTTTTCACACATCTCGTCCTAATGTGTTTCATTGCTGAACTAATCTGTTCTCGCCCTGCCCTGACGCAGGCACCGGTCCCGACATTCTGATCTGCGGAAACTGCCGAGAAATGTTCCGCTCGCTCTCCGACCTGCTTCACCATAAGCGGGACTACTGCAAGCTCCGGTTCGCCTGCAAGTGCAGCCACGAGACCCATCAGACGCCCAGTGAGTCGCCGTCTTTTGCTGCCCTAAAATGGCACGCAGCGGGTAGATGCATTGTTTGGTGAAATTTATCTTTTTACGACTCAAATATTTTTTTGGTGATTGCAGATAACAAACATCGTGCTCTTATTAAGATTACCCAAAAAGATTAACTAATGTGGACTGATCTCAGGATAGGATGAGTGTGCTGAACGCATCATGATTCATGACTAGCCATAACATTGAACCCTTGCACTGACCCCACCGCCCAATATTTATCTGCACCCCCGCACGGAGCCGGTCTCTGTTCCGTTGCAGCGGCGCCGGACGAGGCCAGCTCGGCTCTGCTCTGTGGACTCTGCACCGAACCGTTCCTGACCGCTTGGCTGCTGCTGGAACACTTCCAGACCACGCACTCGGTGGAGATCTACAAACTCGGAAACGATGAGGTAATAACCGACCTTCATGCCTGATCGATTCACGCTAAAACTACAAGGTAGTAGGCACCAATATCATTCGATGCCAATGAATGAAATAAAATACATTGACTCTAGGGTTTGTAAGGGAAGCAAATATTGAATTTGGTTCACTTTAATCTCCCACCTACAATTCGACTTAAGACGATTAGTGATATATATTTTTTCTTTATCCACACATTTAAATGAATTCTAGTCGTCTGCACTCAATGTTCATTCCGCCACCATACAACTGGAAATTTACTGTGAACATCGAACTACACTTCTCGGTTTAGGTGCAATTTATGACGTCCAGCCATCTTCCGCTTGAATGCCTATCAAGCAGCCCCAGCCGTTTGCTCGGTTCATTGGAAATGGATGGACGAGCCTGCGTGCGGCCACGGTAGCCAAGCAGCCTCGATAACTGATGATCATTGCTCTGACCAGTTCGGTAGGTCATTTGTAGTACATACCCATAAATTTTAACTACCATGCACTGTAAAAATATCAAATATAAGGTTGGTGTATATCAGATCAATTCCAATCCTGCAATCGTTGAGGTCCGACCAGGTATCAGCTAACCTGAGGATCTGCCAGTCCCACCAATTACCATTCTCAAAATTTTGCACCTGCCTATTAGATGCTTCGGGCATTAGGTACCCGTAGGTATAGATACCCAACTACCTACTTACAAATGGCAATGTCTTCTATATTGCATTTGTCGCCGGGACCTTTGGGCCTGAAGATGAAATACGATGACAAACACATTTACCTGCGTAATGGCTCGGCATTCTGTCGGCTTGTTTGTCCACTGGCGCCAACCGCTCAAGGCCTTGTGCAAAATGCACTTCAGGACTGCCGTAAACGTGTTTCTAATGGGGGTAGCCTGTATGAGTTATTGGAATACGCTAAGAATGTTCACAATGGTATGATCAGTCGATGTTTCTCATTTTCCAGTGACGGTCATAAAGTCACGAAACTCATTGATGCGACAATACATTGTCACTCACCCATATTTGAACTGTTTGTCGATGTCTCTTTGCCATTAAATGTTTGTTAGATCAAAATGGAAAGGTAAGAGATAATAAATTTTGCGATCCATGTAAGCTAAAGCGAATGTTATATGCTGATTAGCTCTTAGCAGCGAATTCATTCTAATAACCTCTGAAAATTCATATTTGTCAGGACTCAAACACAGGTGAACATCAGTGCCGGACCAACGGCAATACCACGGATGATTCAGAGCAGGACAGCCGAGACACAGATGCCGGAAACGGTAACCATCAGGTGAGAAAAATGGGGGGAAATATACCCCAAATTACCAGGAGTATCAAGATATTTCTATGAGGAAAAGTCAGTACCCGAGCTAGCGAGAAATTAATTGATTAACAGGATGAGGAACGAGATTAAAGCGACAAATCCGAGAGTTACATTAATTGTTGAAATAACGTAGCCGTTATGTGGCCTTCGCTCGCTAGATGCTAAACGTGTGCTGTAATTGTCGTTACCTATTTTCTCGTTCACATGGCGTTTCTGTGTGCTCACAGAAGGACGGCGAAACGGATGGTGAGACCAACAGCACGGCAGGCAGCTGATGAACCATCGACACCACAAGGCGGTGCAGGCCGGCAGCGGTGTGCGAGTGGCGGGATGACATCAATGACGGGGGGAATCTATGATATATCTTAATTTTGAGTCGACAAGCAAGTGACTTTCTCTGGCTGAATAGAACAGAAATAGCACTTTTTCACATTTTGCGAGCGAAAATTGCAGCTGAAAGATATGTGCAGAACGATTCAGTGTTGTGAGATGTGCGATTGACTGAGCGTTCAAGCAGAGTGATGGAATTTCCGTAAAAAATTGTGACGGGTGCTGATCGTATGTGAAGCGTGCTCTTTTTTGTGCAATGGACGTGTGGCGGGGTCGTTGGGTAGGTACCTCTGAAGAGTCTGAAATGGCATTTTTCTTTGAAAATTGATCACGCATGTTTATTTTTGTCGATCTTTGAGGAATTCGGTATGGGAGCCATGAAACCTAAGTTTCGTTACTTTATTAACTGTTTGTGCTTCATCCCATGCCAATTATTTGGAAGATACTTCATAGCGGCATTATTTGCTAGTTCTTCGATTCTTACCAGACTTTCAGGGCAGCTGTATAGTGTACGAATAGTTTTTTTTCAAATATGCGCAAAATACTGTTAATAGAGTATATCTCTTGGCATGTCCCTTTATAAATGAATACATTTAACAAAGAACGAGTTAACCCTCGCCCTTAAACGGCGATCTGCCACCTTCGCCCATGCAGGGGGGGGGGGGGGTTGGTGCGACCCCCCCCTTGGCGTTTGAAAACGGAGCGTCGTAGAGCTTAGCGGAAAAAACCAACGGATTGCTCTCAACGAGATCTCGCGATTGGTGGTATATTTTTTGGTCCTAGGTCAACATTTGACCTACTTTTGACCGGTCAAAGGTCAAATTTTCGGAAAAATAGACTTTTTTCAACTTTTCGCGGCGATTGCGGCAAAACGGTTGGAGATATCGACTTGAAACCTTCACTATCGTGTTCCTTGATCAATTTTCTATCGTTTGGTATGTATTTCGTTTCCCTAGCTCTAAAAATGGCGCGTTGGGAGCGCCGGAAGTCGGCAAGGTCACAGTCGGCGGCAGAAATTCGAAAAATCAAAATTTAAATTTTTGAAATCTGATTGTATTTTTGGATTTGGAAGGTCCATTTGCTCCCTATAGAAGCTAATATTGCTGCATATTCCCATTGAGGTGACAAGAATTAGCAAAATAGTGGTTCGGGCGCTTTTCAAAAATAGTACCGGACGCTGTTCCTCTTGTGACGTCATAGCTCCGTGACCTGACCTGACCCGGTCAAGTTTCTTATACCATATGATAGCCAATACTTGCCCCAACATGCATGGGAAGTTTCATCACGATCCATCAACCGATGTCCGTACCACCGGCAGGAAACCTCGGGCGTTGGCACTCAGTTTGTGAAAATCCGGCCGGAGGCTGTTCCCTTTGTGACGTCATAACTCCGTGACCTGACATGACCCGGTCAATTTTTTTTATCAAAAGATGCGCAAGGTTTGCCCCATAAGGTACCCAAAATTTGGCGGCGCTGCGCGCCGCCGTTTTTGCACTATTTTTGAAAAACCTCAGGGGGGGGCTTGCACCAACCCCCCCCCCTACATGGGCGAGGGTTAAATTGTTTATCAAAACGTGTGTTTTTCTTATTTCCCTGTTTACTGAAATAAGTACCCCAGGCCAAAGTCTACACATATTTCTGCAATAAGCCTTATCTCTCGTTGCTTTTAGAGGTGATATTCAGGATGACGGTTTCAAAGCTGAGGTCTCGGCCGACCTTCTAAGAGTCTCGTGGAGCCGCGTATCCGGCCGCTGGACCCACCAGCCCATAAAGCCGGCCCCGAGACTCCTGGCGGCCGCAATGCGGACTGTTTATGCTGCTGGTATTATTTCTGGAGGATCCCACTGGGGCATAAATGTAGCATCACCTACCTGGCAAACGGCTAAGTGAGTCAGAGCTGCTCCGTCGCTGCTCTCGGCTGAACGAGCTGTGTAAACACATGACGAAACCGGTGTTACATGGTGAACCTTACGGTTAGTTAGTGCGCATGTGAAAAGTACATGTACTCGTATGAGTGCTATCAGATTGTGTGGGCGTATTTAATTATTCGGGGTTTGTGTTGATCGCGCGCTATTGAGGCAATTAATTGTTTTCTGAAAAGTGTGTTGCCTTCAAATAAAATAAACTTATTTCACCCTATCAAGTGTGTGACTTTTTTAGATAAACGTTTTGAAGTACTTGTGGCCGTTCAGTTTGTCTTGCGTAATGCGTATTGTTAATCTATGACGTGCACTTTTTGTTTAGAAACATGGTTGCACGAGAGCATATTGGCGCATTATCCTAAAAAATGCCCAAAGATGATTAAAATGCTATCAGAGAAGATCCCGATACAACTAAAGCATTTATTTTTCGGGCTACAGTCTTAAATCAGAGAAGATCCCGATACAACTAAAGCATTTATTTTTCGGGCTACAGTCTTAAAATTGACTCAATGGCTCTTTTGCCATATGGGTCTGAAACATGCTTTATGAGCTGCAGCCGTTACTAATACTCATAGATAACCGCATCAGACAACCTTTCACAGAGGTTGGCATTGCCAAACAGGTTTGTTTTCCGTATCTCTCCCGATATTTCATTCGGGAACGTCCATGGCAGGTGGGGCGTCTCTCAGTCACCTTCAGAAGCCCGGCCCGCTGTGCCGGCCCGTTCGCTCGCGCCGCGGGCCCGTCAGGGACCAGTTGTTCCATGCCGACCACGGTGCCAAAACAAATGCACCCCGCCGCCGCCCCTGCCCCGCACCGCGGCGGAACGGTGCCCGGTACGGAGCTAATACCTGTCCGGGTCCGGAACCGACCCGGAAGGAGCCGCAGCAAAAACAGCGCCCGGATCCTCCCAGACAGCCGGGACGGCCGCGCGTCCCCGGCGATTTGTACAGGGCTTTTTACAGAGCGGCCCAACCGCGACGCACTCCTCTCGCACTCTCTCTCTCTCTCTCTCTCTCTCTCTCTCTCTCTCTCTCTCTCTCTCTCTCTCTCTCTCTCTCTCTCTCTCTCTCTCTCTCTCTCTCTCTCTCTTCCTCTTTTTGACACTACATACACAACTGCATTCACATATTTGCGCACTCCCATTGTATCGCCTCGGCCAAGAAAGAAAAACAAACAAAATTCAACAATTTTACGTTAAGTAGTGTATCCACCCTAAGATGTAGCTGAAATCAATTTAATCGCAACAAACCGCCCATTTATCGTCCAAAATTATCAGTTGCCTCGCATTTCCATTCTGATCTTCAACTCAAGAGCTGAAAATATCCTCGTCTTTCATTACTGATATAAGAGACGGTCGTAGCCACAGAGAAAAACCAGCCGTACCTCTGGTTATCCGCGGAAAAACAAAGCGACTGCGGTGAAGACAGACAGGAAACAGCACTCCTCCTGCCTTCAGACAGACAGAGAGGAAATGGTAAGTACCGCCCACCTCTCCACGAAAGGTTAACGATGGTGAGTAGAAAACCGAGGGACACCTGTCGCTGATAATTGTTTACCAGATGTCAGTGTAAAGGATTCCGGCGGACACACGGTTTGTTTTTGCCACAGCTCTGGAATTCTTTGTTATCTGGTAAAACAATCAGCGTGCATGCCTTTGCCGCAACTTTCTTATCAAACAACGTTTTTAAGAAGACATACAGCAAACCCACCGTCTTCAACGTAGGACGAAATTACGCCTGGTGGCCATTTCAAGTCAGACTCTACTATAGAAGGCAGGCTTCAGAAGCTGCGATATCACGGACTGTCAGAGTCGGTCCTTTGTGTATGAGTGACCTGCAGGTCCCATCTGGCGGAGCTCAGGGTGAAATACGACCCCTGGCACTGGCAGCTACGGCACGGGACACGCCAGACGCCCGTCACAGGCCGACCGGTGGAGTCCACGGTCCTTCACGGGCGGACTGAACGTCGCCAGTGACACCGTATCGTCACAATCTCAGCGGATACTACGGAGTAAGACGTAGGCATGATGGGTGAGAGTGACATAGTCGCAGGACAATTCGGAAGTGAAAGTGGTAGAGGCAGTGAGTGTGCACAGCGAACACAGTAGGAAAGACCCATCAGGAAAACAAAGATGTCAACGGATTTGCTCACATGTGGAAGAAGACGTGGACGAAAATGGTATTGTCGCAGCCGTTCAAATGTGTGTGAATCCCTGAAAACTAGTTGGCGCTTGGAATAAATTGAACTTGAATTGATTGGTAGCTAATCCATCATACGCAGTCTTGCACTGCACGGAAATTCTAGCGATGATGTGGCGAGTTGTCGCGTCTTTCTTCTCGAAGGGCAGCAGCATCCAATATTTTACCACGGAGGACGTCATCATTTTTCAGTGTCTCCTGAGTGCGGGCCTCAGCATGTGAAGCCTCGGTGGTGGCACGTCAGTTTTATTTCCCTCATCAATCAGACGGGGCGCAATAAATCCTCCACGGATTGTCGACCAAGCATGATCCGAGGGCGTACCGCATGCGCCCGCGTAACACATGGCGCAGTCATTACCAAAGAATTGCTATAATGTGATACTTTGAGCGACTTTTCTAGCAGGTCATTAACTGTTCAAAAATAACGAGCTAGTTCCGAAAGAAATGAGGAAATATAGGAAAATCCAAAAAGGAAGGCAAATCATAAAATTACGCCCGGACCAAAATACGTCACAACGTAAATTAGCATATCAAGCTCCTATTTGGAGCAGCTCGATGATTCGTCGTCAAGAGTTGCGCCTGGCCTTGAAGATACCGTCAATGTATTGAGCCGACCCAGCTTCAACTGGAGCCAGGGCTGTGGTCGGAGCGGTGCCTCATCTCTCTGACTCACTGACCCGATCTGAGGCGCGCCAGACAGCCGCCGGTCAGCCGGGGAGGGCTGAGAGCTGCCTCAGGGCAGGCGGCCCTCCATTGCGGACCCAGGCCACTCTCCACAGCGCCTGCAGCCCTCCGCCGCCGTGTATTTGGTCAGAAAACAGCGCCGGCGCGCGGCGCGCGGCCTTTTTCCGCAGGCAGCCTCCCCCGCGGCGGCGGGGCTGAGGGAGCAGGCAGACCCGACTCGGCCGCTCTCCGCCGCGCCGCGCCGCCGACCGCGAGAGCGAGAGCGTTGTGTTGCGATTGGCACGCGTCACGGGGCGACAGCTACCTGAGCAGCGCGCTCCGTCGGCCGCCTCGTCGGTCTCGACGCGGCTCCGTCGGCTCCGACGCCGGCCAGTGCCGACTCGGCGGTGGCGGAGGAACGGGTGCGGCTCGGCGCGGTGTGAGGCGGCGGACCGGCGCGGCGGAAGGGCGGACGGGCGGGCGGACAGCGAAGGGAGGCGGTCCGAGGTGGTGTTGGAGCGGCGTGAGACTCAGTCCGAGCGCTGGGCGACTGAGAGGACTCTGTACAGCGGCTGCATCGGCCGGCGGCCGAGAGAAGGTCAGGTGAGATGTCTGCCAACTGCGGGCTGTCTGGAAAGGTCTGCTCGCCTCCGCGCGAGCTAGCCCGCGGCAGTTGACCAAAGCAGTCAGCAGATGCGGCAAACTACGGCGAATGGTGTGCCAATGCTGAGATATCGGGCCGGGAGGCTGCGCTGGCACTGAGGGAGGGCTGTGGCGCTGACACGTGGCTCGTGACACAGGCACGTGGACGCCACATGGCTGGTATTCGACCGTGAATGATGCAATGTGGCCCGCATAGTTGCTGAGGTTAAGTGGTAACGATGCGTTGAAAACATTTGAATAATCAATCACACATAGCGAAAGACTTATATAATTTTCAGTGGCATTTTATCTGTTCCGAGTATGACATAGAATGGCACACTGGGGTTGTCTCGTTAATGTTAACGTTGTTGTAGCGAATATGATAACGGTAAGCACTTCTGGGAAGTCGTACCTGTCGCATAATACATTCATAAGCGTTAAAAATGCACCGTGCATGAATAATACAAACATAACCTATTCTCTACTCAAAGCAGAAGTGAATGACACACTATAACTCTTCCTACGTTTAGCATACGCATCATTCAAAATTTAGCGTTTTGGAAGGAAAACCTATTGCAACAGCTTTGCTATAAGTACATATATGTAGATGTCGATCCACATTCGCCGCCTCACTTCAACTCCTTCATTTACCGAGGAGGTTCCCTTCCCTCCCTTGCTGGGAGTCCTTATACTGCCTTGTGAATAGAACTGCTTGTGTGCCTGCTTTAAGTGTTTATATGACGTGTGTGTACTGTGTAGGCGCTCACTGAGCCCGTCAACGTATGCAGGCGCGCCTCACCCAGACAAATATCTGTGTTTACTCAGTGCTAACACGCATTCACACAAGTTATGTCCGGCACAGTGACATTGGGCTCGCGTGACTCGCCATTCCTCGCCAACATCGTTCCAAGAATATTCCGACGGTGCTATCGATAATGGCACCACCGTCCCACGAAATATAAAGCTATTTTATGATCCGGCTGATTAGAGGACATATGACATTTATGAACTCCGCAGCTAGAATTGGTAAAAGAGGTTCCTTTACCGAAAGCTGCCTGGAAGGGTCTGAGATGCATGGAAAGCCGTTCCTCAAAACTTTAAAAGGTGTGTGAACCGACACAAACTCTGATCCACTCAAAGTCTACTTAGATAGCAATGCATACGACGCATTCCGAGCCTGATCGGCTTGGAACCTATGTTATGGTTTTCCTCATTTTAGGACGGCAACTGGCAATACCATTTTGTAACATCACATCACGACCACCCTACCGCACCTCACAGCCTCGCTACTAACCCCCTCCTCCCTCCCTCCCCTGCATCTGATGAGCGCCGCCTATAGCCTCGCCCTGCCACCAAACCACCCATAAATACGTCATGATTGGCTAGCCACGATACTAAAACCAACTGAGCGACAAGGCAGACCGCGGCCGATGGCGGCGGTGGAGTCTGGACCGAAATGACGCCGTACGGGACTGGACGGACCCATAGGGCGTCCCCAGAGAGTCACCAACTGACCGGTCACGGTGTCATTTCACTTTACGGCCGAGCCGGGACTGGTAAAATGCCTCCTTTGTGCGCCGTGAAATGAGAAGGTGACGGAGACCAGAGCAAGGGGAAGAGGTGAAGAGGGAGGATGGATGTAAGATGTGGAGACTATATGAGCTAGAGTGGAGGGAGAGTATAGTGGGCGCCTTTTCCTAAGTTGTGAATA